TCATGAGACACTACATTTAAGGCCTGTTTTCTGTACAGTTATTCTGGAATAAACCTTTTACTGAATAGCTCTGCTGTGCTGCTGCTCTTTTCCCAGAGCAAGAATACATTTTTCTGGTGTAGTTTAAGCCACTTTCAAATGAACAAAGCGCTCTTATTTTTGACTAAAAGTGGCCCTRCGTGGATTGTTCAAGGATAGCAATTTCTTTCTGAATATAGCCTGTAATTTGCGCTCACTTTCAAATGTGGACAGGCCCTCTAATATTTCCCAGAGATTTCAATAGAAGATACCAGGCGGGCAGGCAGAAGAGCAGCCTGACGTGCCRTGGATGCTGCAGCTGCCCCTTGGGAATGAGTCTTTCTGCCATTGCAAGGAATTCAGTGAAAACATCTATAGTCCAGTATCCCATTGGCTCTGTCTCCCTGCTTTATGTACACAGAGAAATCAGACTAACAATAGAGAAATGCCTGCAAATATCCAAGCAGCATTTTCACCAGGATTGCTGGGTCTGGCTTGAGGAATTTCACTATTTCACAGGAATTCCCTGTGACACTGAAACTCAATGGATGCAGCTCAACTTCTCAGACACTTGAGACACAGGGCAAGTTTACACATCTGGCGGGTGACTAGGAGGAGGCAGCTGACATACATACAGCTGTGCCTTGATGTGTGGTGTCCCATGCAGGGCAGGAGCCCTACCCAGAACAGTCCTGTGTGGTTCTTCTGGGCCCTGCCTTGCTGGTTCTGCTGCTCAGGAGACCATGGATCAAGCTCACGAGGTGAATCTGGCAAACAGAATAACAGAGCAGCGAAGAAACTGCCGTGCTGTCCTGCTGCATGCAGAAGATGCCTGGAATCCAGCCCTGTAGAAGAGGACTGATGGTGTCTCCTGTTCAAAGTGTGAGATTTGACTGGGTCACTCTCCTGCTTGCGGCAGTGTGAACCCCTCCAAGCAGACAAGGGGCAATGTGGAAACATCAGGATTGCTTGTTTTGGATRTTTGCCAGGATTTCCCAACATTGATCATGCTGGGTGAGCAACACCAATGTTGTTGACTATTGAAGCACCAGTTCTCAGTATCCTCTGTTAAGTTGGGACTTTCAGGCATACCTAAAATATTTACATGCTAATTTTCAATTTATTTGTAAATTATTAACAACATATCTGAAACAAGTGATCAGATCACAGCCAGAAGAAGATTTTTTTACTGTGGATTTATATTTTAGCTGATTTATGTCAGCTCACATTCTGTGGTGGAATGCAGGCTAAAGTATATAAATAATTTATAGCAGTTCTAGTCTTTTAATGAGTTTAAAAAAGTTCAGTTAGATGAAAAGAAGGAGGTTGGTTCGGCAGTAATTTGTTTAAACAGAAGTGAAAGATGCTTGTGTTCAAGCACAAAACTGCCCCTCCTCTTTAGTATGAATGCAGCAACAATCAGGTAATTAAGTTCCTTGTTCTCAAAATGTGTATTTATACAAAATTTGAATATCTGATCTTGGAAAAAAAGACCAGGAAGTAGGATTCTTTTCATCTTTCAGTTAGTTCAACTTAGAATTTACATTGATTGTCTTGCATGTAGCTTGTGCTTTTTTGAAAGCAGCATATTGGATTCTATGATATGTGCTGTAGTGTCAGGGTATCCTTATGCTGTACTGTGCTGAATAAAGGCTAGAACCTAAAAAGCAGATTCCCAGGTAACTCATGTAAACTGCTTTAATCCTCGTGTTTGAATTCTTGACACAATTTTAGAGAATTTATCTCAYAGAATTTAATTATAGCAAATTAGCAGATAGAAATTAAACCACTGTTCTGATTTTTTCCTCTCTCAATTTTAGCMTGAACCCTAGAGATTTCAAAGATATGTTGCTATGAATATTACTGTCCTAAAGGAGAAATTTCTGAGTTGATTCATCCACCTAAGAAACCTGTATAAAACCTTTTGCATTGGACAAGCTGGAATTCATTCAGAGCAGGGAAGAAGGGCTGTGGGGAAGATGCAGAAGTTGGCACACAAAAACGGTAACACTTCTTTATAAAGAGAACACCATTGGTGAAGAAGTACAACCTCACTCATCCTCAGCCTACCCCAGGTCTTTGATTGTCCCCTGAGACCAGAGTAGTTTATTTTCTTGTCATCATTTTTCAAGCAAAAGTATTAAATATTTTAATAGAGTARGTGTCTGAATTGCCACCAGGATCATTTCATGCTAATCTGAGACTRTAACCAGAAGCTCTAGCAGTAGCATTTACTTCTGTAGCTGGCCTCAGAAAATTATTTCTTTACTCCTATACACAAGAATATTTTATTCAGAGCCGCTAGTGCTAACACAGCACAAAARACAAACTTCAACACAGAGCAAAGCTTCCGCTGCCTGGCAGTGGTCCAGCAGTACTTCCATACAGCCTCTCCACAGCAGCTCTGGATATCCCCTCCGGCAGCAGTCCTATTCTGCCTCACAGATTGATATCGATACCCACCAGATTAAAAGAGGCAGCATATTCCCCTATATGCCTTTGGGAGAAAAAATAAGAAGTTGATTTTCTCAAGGGCTTTTCCCTGCGTCTGCTTGCTGCCATGGCCCAGAGGAGCGAGGAAAGGCTTTGCTGGCCGGRTTACGCGGCCCGGCGGGCGGATCAGCAGTGCCATCCAGCGGGAACGGCAGCCACGCTGCTCCCGCCGAGCCCGCAGGGAGAAGGGACATGAACCCCATCCCCACGGCCCCTTTCGCCCGTGGCCTTCGCACCACCACGTATTAATGTGCGAGGGACCGCAGGCAATTTTTGGTTTCTCGAAGTTTCCAAGACTTCATGAAAATTAGCAGCTCTACAGCCACTTTGGGGGAAATTTGCTTGGGGGAAAACTTAGTAATTGAGTTTATTTTAATAGATGTAATTCCAGTTTAACTTTCTGCTTTTATTTGTTTGGTGTCTGCTTTTYAGATAAATGTTCTGCCTCAGTGCTCAGGAAAGCGATTCTCTTCCTAACAACATTAGGTTCCTTCCCAAGGAGGGCACAAAATGCATGGAAATCAAGCACTGGTAGTTTCAGTTCTCACAGATAACCCACAGTTGCTCTTAATCATGTGAATACCAAACTGAATGGATAAAAATACTCTTTTTAATATTAAAAAAAGTTAGATTTAAAATAAATTCTAATGATATTTTAGTTTTCAACATCCCACAGATTTTGAAACACTGTTGACTTAAGACCTAAATGTATTTGACATGTTACAATGCTAAACTCCCCAGAATAAAGCATTTAAACAGCTGGAAGTATTAGGTGCAATCTAAAAGGYAGTGCTAAAGCAGAAGTCGGACTCACAGCGCGAACCTGCAGGGTCTCTGGCTATGGGAGGTCTCCATGTGAGCTCTCCACATGCTCCGGCTCGGCTCCAGGCGGCAGAGCGGGTCCGTGGCACAGGGACAGGCCACCCCTCGTCCCCGTCGCCTGCGCGGGTGCGACATGCGGCCCAGCCCTGCAGGCCCTCCCGCTGGCTCTGTGGCTCCAGCGATGCCAGAGCTCTGGAATTTCACAAGTGCCCGCGTCCCGCCGCTTGCCTCCATGCAGAGTGGCTGGAGRGCTGCACGGCAGAAAAGGATCTAGGGGTGCCGGTCGAAAGCCAGCTGAACGTGAGCCGGCGGCAGCAGTAGGCCCGGGGGCCGAGAAGGCCGATGGCTGCCTGGCTTGTATCAGGAATAGCATAGCCGGCAGGACCAGGGAAGTGATCATTCCCCTGCGCCTGGCACTGGTGAGGCCGCACATCCAATACTGTGTTCAGCTTTGGGCCTCTCACTACAAGACAGACATGGAGGTGCTGGAACGCGTCCCAAGAAGAGCAACAAAGCTGGTGAGGGGGCTGGAGCACAGSCTTTATGAGGAACGGCTGAGGGAGCTGGGGTTATTCAGCCTGGAAGAGTCTCAAGGAGTCTCCGGACTGCGTTATCGCTCTTTTCWACTACCTGAGAGGAGGTTGTTGTGAGGCAGGGCTTTATCTCCAAAATAACTATCGATAGAACAAGAGGAAATGGCCTAAAGTAGAACCAGAGCAGGTTCAGCTTAGACATTAGGAAGAATTTCTACACGKAAGGAGTGGTGAAGCTTTGGAACAGGCTGCCTAGGGAGGYGGTAGAGTCACTATCCCTGGCAGTATTCAAGAAACATGTGGATGAGGCATTTAGGGACATGGCTTAACATGCGGAGTGCTGAAGTGCTTACAGTTGGATGCAAGGATCTTGAAGGTCTCTTCTAGCCATAATCGTTCTATGATTCTGGGAACTCTTAGCTCTTTAATCTGCCTTTCCTAGCACAACTGGTTTCTTCAGCTCAAGAAAAACTCTATTCCCTACATTATCCTGACTTTTGAAAATGATAGTGAACTAAAATCCATCAATGACACATTCGTAGTCTTTAAGGTCACTAATGAAAGCAATGCTAATGCCAATCATTATCTATTGCTGTAGCACAAYCACAGACATTGCTAAAGACTAGAAGAATCACTTCCTTCAAAAAAAAATTTTTTTATTCTTTAGGAAGAAAGCAGAAAATGTTACAATGAAGATCCTGCATAAACAAACACATTCATAGTAGTTAAATATCATCAGATTGCTAGATCGCAGCATTCACCCCTCCCAAATGCAGATGACTCATTCCAGAATTACAACTAGCAGGGCACTGACATACATCCAATCACAAAATATGGAAATTTCCCCCAAATACTGATACACATTTTGTGTCGTCAGTTTTAAAGGAAAAGTACACATCTTATTTAAGAAGGATAAAACACAAAATTAGCATACTGGTTTCCCACAGATTTTCCCCTAAAACAACAAGTCAGAAAAAAAAGAGTGTAAAAAAATGAGTTAATGTGGATAAAGAAGAAAAAAATGTGAAGATGCTTCTATTTCTTGCTTTCTAGTCGGTTAAAAAACAGAGACTCCCCAAATGGAATGTGTTTCTAAAATGGTTGTGTTATGCAACAACAGTTTGAATGCAGCCAGTTACTGCTACACTGTACAGTCATACATGACAGCTGAATATACATCAGGTATCCATTTATCTAGATACCAAGAAACAACTGTTTGCGAGACCATTGCATTTCCATACATACATTAAAAAATTGGAAAAACAACAATTAAAACATGGAAGACTAGAAGCAGAACTATCCTAAAAGGCATCAATATGGAAAATACAATTCTAGCTCTAAAGTGCTCTTTTTATAAAATTAATTTTGTGTAGAAAATTTCAAGCAGGCACATTTCACATCTGCAAATGCCACAACTATTCGAGTAACTAGAAGATCCCTGGGATCTATGCATCTAATGGATGTTGTAAAATCCTAATGATTCTATCTAACATTTGTTTGTCATAACAGAACAATGTCTAGTTCCAGCTAACAACTTCACTGAAGCAGAAAGCAGAAGATGCTGAAGTTTTTGTGGTTCAAATAAACAAGAAACAAATGATTCATGTGGGATATTTTGTTGGTTTGTTTCTGAGAATTTTGTTCTGGAGAATTCTTCTTCAAGCACTGCTTTTTGTCTAGCCATTGCTCCTGAAAAAATATAGAGGAATTTATTATTTTTAAAGACATATTGCCTTTATACCTACTACAAAGGATAATGAGCTGAAAGTACAGTACAGGATACAGTGTATTTTCTCTGGTTGGGAACTGTCACTGTCAAGTTCTCCATTGACTATATTTTGTAAATGTGATGTGATGTGATGTATGCCATGGTGCTGTGCTCATAAATTAACCCAGCAGYAGGTATATTTACAAAATCAGAATAGAAGATGGACAGAGAAAAGACTGCATCATATAAGCCCCAACTCAAAAGAGATCAAAATTCAACAGCTTCCAAAAAAAACGACCTTTTCATCATCTGCTGGAATCCAGGCAATCCTGYTCGTTGTCCTAATTCAGATCTGCAGTTGGAAGAATTATGAAAATACGTACAATAGAATATATGCATGTCCTCTAAATCTCTTACTCGACAACGCTGTGTCAGGACAAGATTCTCACTTTATTTGAATTGCACTATTTTAAAGTCTCTATAGAGTTTTATTACAGGGCATTTTTACAGTCCACTTCTTCCAGAAGCCACTCAAGTCCGGTCAGCAGTCCATCTAAAGTAGCAGCTACAGTGTCCTGCACCTGTGAAAATAACAAAAGTCACACTATTACAGGCTACAGGCAATGAATCTAACAATATTCTATGAAAACTTCTAGATTCTTATGTCAGAAATATTCATGACAAAAATAAATTTTTTATCATTGGTTTCCAGGTATTTTGACAGGACAGGTCCCTTACAATAACATTTAAGAAGATGACACTATTCTTTACATAAAGAATTAAAGAGAGCTGTTAAGAAAACTGTGCATTTTTGATATCATAGTAAATTTTATACCAAGCCCTCCATCAGAATATTATTACTTTAGAGATGATGGTCTACTTGAAAATCCTTTTAATAATTCTTAGAGGAAAATGCTGCCAGCTTTAGAATTCAAGCCCATTTCTTCTCCATTTTTCCAATATATTAGTAAGTAATTATTATTCTAAATGGTAGTTAAAAAAAAAGAAAAAGAAAAAAACTTAAACATTCTCCTTGTAGAAAGAAAGGAATTAAATCTCTMTTTTTGGATTAAGTATTATCCTTCAACTATGCTATCAAAAAGAAAAAAAATCTGTTACTGAGATACACTGATATGTTCTATGCTCAGCAGGCATGAAAGAATGGACTCAGTACCTCATGGGCTAGGCAGAAACTGTGATTTGCCAAAAACTCAGTACAGCCCRCCAAGCCAGTGACCATTAAGACTCMCGAAAAATGACAGAAAAGCCTACCTTGTGGCCAAGGCCTCAGAGTCAAGGAAATTAAGAATAAATTCTATTTATTGCTTAAGTGGAGTGTCGAAAGCTATAGATTTACTTTGATATGCACTTTTCAAGAACTACGATAAGGTTAAATTGCATTTAAGCATGGAAAAAAAAGGAGGAAAATAAAGGTTTAAAAGTAAGTACCATCCAGGGTTGATGTAAGAGATTCAGTTTCAAATGATGTGCCATGTAAACACAAGGAATTCTTTCCACACCAGCATGAGAGATGCAAGACAAAACCAGCAGAGGTCTGTTTCGAGGCCCAAGCGCAGGATCAGTCATTGCCAAAATATGGGCCAGTTCTTCTTCACGGTCATGCTCTAGGAAATAAGTTGTAATAGATAAGTATTAAATATATGCAAATCCCTAGCAATTTTTTTTAATCTTGACTTTTCAACACTTAGTTCACAGAACTGAGGAAACACAGGGCTCAAAGTGGTGTGGACAAATTATCTGACATCTCAGGGCTGGATCAGCTGCACTCACATCCTTCTTAGCTACTGTTTAAAGATCTCTGTAGATCTGCGGACAATCATAACATCAGAGCATTTTACAAGTATCTCAGAGACCAAAATCACCACTGAGAAAGGCTGACACCCACAGAGTCGGTAGTCCTTTCATAACAACTTAATTTTCATTGCCAGTATATCCTATTTTTTTTTTAATTCCATGCTTTCTTGAGCAAGTTCTTTCCCTCCACTTAAAGCTGATGAATATAAAGTCTGTCCACCATAACATGTGTTTGGATTTCCCCTACTTAGGAGCTTTTATTATAGGACAATCCTGACTTGTGGTGGTTACATCTTGCACTGCAGTACTCCTGGCAAAGGCTCTGTTTATTACAGGTTATTACATCAGCACTGCTGTATTTTAGGCTTCTTCTCCCACTCACCCTACCCCCTGTACTGCCCTACTGCCTCCCGGTTTTTGTTTTGTTTAGTACAGATCATTTCCCAGATTTGACTAGGGAGCAGGAATGCAGTGCAGGCACTGACAGTAAGGGCCATAAACTCTTGTAGGAAGGTGAGGGAAAGTATCTGGGCAAGGGGACCTCTCCCTGGAGAAACAGCACCAAAGAAGCAAACACTGAAAGAAGAAGAATATGTTTTTTTGATATATTCCATACTCTCAACAGATCCACTTATGACATTTCAGTCATTCACAAAATATGAGTAAATACAATAAAGAGAAATCTCTTACTTTTATGAGCTTCTGCATTAGCAACATAGATGAATCCATCAACTACTTCGCACACCTTTTTCACTTGAGCTATTACACTGTAGTGCCCAGCTTGCTGACTCCCCGCTGTAGTGCTGTCTTGGTAGAACATCTTATTCACAATAACAGCTTGTTCTGTCCTTGCTCTCCTCCTTTCCACACTGAAAGATATTGAAACACTCCAGCCATTTAACAACAGTAGCCAGGTTAATTCAGCAAGAAATGAAAAAGCAGGGTCTAGGCAGAGGTCGGTACATCAAAGGGTTGGGAAAAAGGCCTAACCAGGAAAATAGCTTTGCTGCTCCCATTTTTTGGCTGTGTACATACAGATGGTTAGCAGGCTACAAGACGCACATTAAAATGTACTCCAGGGTGAATCTATAAAATGTTTCAAAAGGGAAATATTCAGAATACACAGAGGGACAGAATTACCTGTTTATGTATTTGTCTTAAAAACATTTCTTATGCATTAGTGTGGGTGAAAGGTTTACTACTTTCACACGGAAACTGAGTGGGTGGAGAAAGAAAAGGAATAAACACAAGGTTCAATATGTGTATAATGGATATCTATGTACGCAATAAAGCCATAAAACTTACATCATGAAACCAAGGGAAAAAGTACAAAACAGCTGAGAAATTGTACTTTTTTTGAGGAAAAATAACCTTACCTGGTGGTTGAATACAATGTTAGAATGTTGAATTTTTGATTGTTATTGAACTGAAAACTGACTCCTGATCCAATCCCTACAAGAAAATGTATGTATGAGATTACAGATTTCTGCTTGCTGAACACAACTTAGTGACAGGCTGAAAATTCTACCAGGGCTGTCAAACAGACACACCTAAATCTGGGTGTTGCTGTTGAGGGGAAGCATGCTTATTAATAGGGAATTTAGGATTTAYTAGAAAGTAAAATCAAAAGAAAATGAGGAGGCATTTCTAAGTTTTGGGGTTTTGATACTTGTATTAGAACCTAGGAATTTAAGTCCCGGAGGAGCTGATTTACATGTCCTAAACTGACACAGGAAAGCTTTAGTCTAGTTAGGACAAGCTGCAGTGAAAAAGACATGAAAGAGAAAAGAAAATAAGAGCAAATAAAAATGCGGATTTTTCCACTTCCTATAAATGTGATTTAATTATTCCCATTCTGCTGTGCTTAAATATTAGCTATTCTTAGTTAAAAGCCAGTCATAAGGTTTGTATCTGTTTTGAACTGAAGCAAAATTGCAGATGTCAGAAATGTTTAATACTTTCCGAATAACAAAAAGAATTTCATCTGCTCCTACATTCCCTTTTTTTAATAAGAAAAATGTACTCATTCAACACCAGGATATTTAATCAGATAWAGAATCAGTATAAGACGACAAGCATAGCTTTAACCACTAAGTAAYAGTGGCACTTATAAACACTATTTAAAGGAAATCATGTTCATACTTATCCATTACAGCAGCATATGAGGCATGGAATTTAAGACAAAAATCTAAAGAGCAAAATCTCGATCCTCTAACCCTGTACAAATTTATCCATGAAGTTCACTGGTGCTAAAATTTTATCCAACCTGGTTACAGTGTTTGCCCTTTGAGATATGTGTGCATACATATATACATATATATATCTAAATATATACATGTATCTATATATCTTATATATCTACATATATACGTAGATATACATATATATGTAGATATGTAGATATATATATGTAGATATGTAGATATATACACACACACACAAAGAGAAAGTATTTTTTTCAATCACATTATTGACCTTCAATGTAAGCGCTAAAAACATATTGTTCCTGTTTTTCTGCCTGCTTTTTTTGATTTTATGACATATCTCTTCATAAAATTCAAACTACCACCACCAAAAGCATTACCATGAATTCGCCTTTGAGGCAGGCCGGCCACTAGCAGAATTTCTGGGCAAGTCATCATCTTCTGCACTAAGGAGTCATCCAGCTCTTCCAAACCTGGCCCAAACATAGCAAAGCGAGGTTCTGCCTGAGTGACCAGTGACTGCAAGAAAGATGCCACAGGCCCGTACCGGGGACGGTTTGATTTCAGACTTCTTCTACTCTGAGGGCAGCTTTTTTTGTATCTGTGTAAAATAGACGCAACTAGAAATTAAACACAAAATGCAAAAAGGTATTAATCAAAGAACACCAATTAATTTAGGCCCGAAATTCCCTTGCTGTATTATTAGAGCATCTTAAACACAGGTCTAAAATGACAGTTAAAAAAAAATTATGGTTTAGATCACCAGCACCAAACAGGTAAAATCACTAGCCCTGCCAAGTTTCAAATGATGATGTTTAGTACCTTATTATAGTTCTATACGATGGATCTCCTACTTCATAAATGTGTGTGTGTGTGTGTGTATATATATATATATATATATATATATATAATTCTGCTGTATATATATCTATGCAAACTTCCCCCAACTCTCGAGCATCCCTTGCACACACAGTATTTTTAAAATAACATGGAAGTTGAAGAATCTAATATAAACCTCATGTAAAAACATGAGAATTCCGAGTGTGTCCTACTGTAATTAGACCCCCCTTTACACTTATTATTTCTAAAAAGGCAACTCCATCTGAAAGAGGCCTTATCCCTTCCACACATAAAGGCTTCATTTGATTTGTGTTCATTTGATGCAGGAGCTGGAAGGTCTGAAGAGACTCTGGCCATCACAAAAGAGGGCAGTCAAGAGACTGACGGGCACCCTGAAGAAGCTGCTTCTGCCTTTCTTTCTGGTCCTGTGATGCTAGAAAAATCACTCCCAGGAAACATCAACTGTGTAYACTCTGCCCCCAGCCCAAGGCACTGCAGCTGACATCAGGAAAACCACGCAGTGCTCACAGACACCGTGGAAATCAGGGGCAGCTGGCCTCAAGTATGTGATGTGTGCAGAAGGATTCAGGCCTGCAGAGATTTAAACCCAATGCTCACAATTAAAAGGGCATTTTGCACTTCAAATTCCAGGGTGCCTCTTACCTGCCTGTAAAACAGGGAAGGGAGACAGAGAGACTGCCAGGACTGTTTATTGGGAAGCAACAGGCTCATGAACCATCTTGCGCCATTCCTGCCCCCCGCGGAGGTGCAGCGCTGCACACCAGCSCGGGGCTCTGCACCCCGTTACAGGCACCGGGCAGCCCGCCCGGCTCCCCCGCTCCGCCCGGCGCCGCGGCCGCTACTCACGCCGCCATGTAGTCGCAGTGCGCGGCGCCGGGCGCGGGCAGCGGCGCCAGCAGCTGCGCCTCGGGCAGCGACCTCCAGTCCACCGAGGCCCACGCGGGCAGGTCGCGGCGCAGCAGCCGCCGCCAGAGCAGCGGGTCGCGCACGGCCGCGCGCCAGTAGCAGCCGGTGCTGCCCAGGCGGCAGAGGTCCCGCGGCGACAGGTACGAGAGGATGCGCAGCTGCACGTCCACCTGCAACACGCAGAGCGCCGCTCAGCGCGCGCCCCGGCCGGCCGCCCCGCCCGCGCCCCGGCCCGCGCCGCTCTCCTGCGCGCCGGCGGCCGGGCCCGGCAGCAGCGGCGTCAGCGCGGGCCCCGGCTCAGCACAGCGAGCATGTGCCGCGCGCTCGCGCTCTTCCAGCCTTGTCCTTTCAGCGGCCCCTCGCAGGCCGCCACGTAGGTCGCGAGCGCCTTGGTGCCCACTGCTCGGTAGTCGGGCACCGCCGCTGCCGGCCCCTGGCYGCCCGGCCTGCCTGCTGCTCCGCAGTGCTTCAGGGCCCAGTAGCACATTTCTCCGCTGTACATCATCGCCAGCAAGTGCGTGTCACTAAATACACCTGCAAAAAGGGAATTCAGAACTCAGGCACTTTGTTTGCTTAAATGTGTGATTTGTTAACTTAAATCTTTTCTGTTATGAAAGTAAGATTTTTTTCAAGAAGCCACTAAATGCCTCCTGCTGAAGAAGTACACCGGGGTGCAAATTTCCACCCCTAGTGAACTAACATTGCCAAGAACCTGCATCAAAAGCCAAACTCTCTGTGGTGGGCAGCAACAGAACAAGGGCTAAGGGTGTAAATTCAAACACAGGAAGTTCCATCTCCGTGTGAGGAAGAACTTCCTCAGTGTGAGGGTGCCAGAGCCCTGGAACAGGCTGCCCAGGGAGGTTGTGGAGTCTCCTCTGGAGAACTTCCAAACCCACCTGGAATGCCACCCTGTGCCACATGCTCTGGGTGTCCCTGCTGGAAMAGGGCGGCTGGACTGCCTGATCTCTAGAGGTCCCTTCCAACGTTAACCATTGYATGACTGTGATGGAAGATCCTATGAGAGCACCATCTTACCTTGGGGTGACCAGCAGCTGCTTGAGTATTTAAACAGAAAGCCACATAAGTGTCTATGACCATTCCAAAGCAAACAAACAAACAAACCAGCAAATAAATGTGTGGAAGCAGCTACTGAACTTGGCTTTGCATTTTGAAACAGACTTGGGCCAATCAATCTTAGTCCCTTTTAGAAAAAAATGTGAAGGTGCTCCATCCCACATGGATATCATCAGTTCCTCAAGACCTGACTAGAGTTAAGTTTTGGGGGTAAAATGTTGGCCTAAGCACCAGCTGTTTTACTTGAAAATCCACTCCCACCATGTGATGCTACTTCCATCACACTGATGTAGCTGCAGATGCTCTGGTGAAATGCACTATAGTAATACAACTTAAAGCTACAGCAGAGAGTGATAATGAAGTTTTGCTACTCTGAACAACATACTGTGGAATTACTACCTGTGAAATTAGTAATTCATCATATCTGTTTTCTCCTACATCTATAGAGAAATACAAGTTAAAAACATTCAGCACTCACTGCAGTTTTATTTATGCCTCTAAGATTTGCCATCTGAGAAACAGATCCTTAACATGCCCAATATGCGTAAAACACAAGCAGCCTCTGTTGTCCATCTCCCCAAGTGCACTTACAAAGAATATAAACAAACATTATCACCTCCTAAAATCTCTAAGTCAGAAGAAGGAAGARTTGAAGAGACACGAAAGCACAACTGCTTATTGGCTTCCTGTAACTATTCTTCTTGTTCTAAAAAGTTAGATAGCTAGATAGTTAGTTAGAAATGATATCTAGCTTGAACCCACAAAAATGCACAATAGAGTTTTATAAAGCCAGGAAGGCATTTGGGATGTTTTGTACTTTTCATTTTGTTTTTGTTTTGTTTTACCTTCACTGAGTAATCTAGCCGAGTCTTTATCCCGAAATGAGACATCTTCATCTAGCTGGAGAGGGCATCTAAAGCTAAGCATCTTCATCAAGTACTGGACTCCATCATTAAGACACTGACGACAAATTAAAAAAAAAAAAAAAAGAGAGAAAAAAATAGGAAAATTCTGAGCAATTGAAAGATCACCATAAATAGTTTCAATGTGAATTACACAGGCAGTTATTTAAAATAAATAAATAGAAAAGCTGTACTTCAAAAAATCATACTTGAAAAGTGTACTTATGAACACTTATGCTTATGACCTTTTGTTTTTAAATCTCCTTTACCTCTTCAAATATGCTGATATTTTCCTTCAGCCATTCACTCCTTTCTTTCACAGTGTGACAATACATGTAAAGCAGAGCTCCTTTCCTCCAGTAAAGACACTCCAGTAACTCTGTGCCAAGGATGCTCGTAGGCTGAAATAAAATCCAATGCAAAGTGCTCAGCCAAAAACAACCAACAACACACACACACACACAACAGAAGCAAATAGAGCTGAATTAACCCTCTAGAGGATACTGTGTACCTATTAGTGATGGTCACAGATATAAGCTTTGGATTTAAATAGCAGAAAACTTCTGGAATCCTGAAATAACTAGGAAGAAAAATTCTTGGCATCCACGTAGTTATTTGAAAAATTATTTATGGGCAATGATTTGGGAGCCGCTACAAGTAAGATTTGGACTTTTTTCAGATGATGTCAAATTTTGCTCATCAAAAATGCAAAAATTACTATTCTGTTTTAGTTTTAAAAATGAAATAATTAGTTTTGTGACTGGGTAATGTTACTACTCACTTCTTCATTTATGTTGCATTCTTTCATTAGGTCTTCTGGTTCTGATAGAATACAAATTAGCTCTTTAACTTTCTGTAAGGAACAGTCTTCTGGAAAATCTTCATCTACAAGCTGGTTTTCCTCAAAGTATGTAATATCTAGGACAGCCTATGAAAATAGGAAGAAGCACGATGTAAAAAAAGCAACAACAAAAAGTAAAAATAAGCAGCATAAGCAAAACACATCACAAACAAAATAATCAGATGTGGCATACCTACAAACTCATTAGTTTACAGAAATACTATAATTCTAAAGGTCATCTATAACATTTAGTTTTCAAAAGTATTATAAGTTAAAAATATTAATATTAAACTGTGACCTTTTTTTCCCTTCAAATACTCTTGGTTACTTTTTAATTCAGAACAAAAGTGAGTCTGTACTTTGTAGAAGTTCTCTAAACTGCACGCATTAAAATGCAGAAATAGAAATACTTTTTAGCTATAGCTGCTCTACTATACTGGCTAATCATATATAATACATGGTGGGCCTTTTCAAAGCACAGCTACAAATGTTTTTAATATATACTACCTGTGTATAAAGCTGCAAGAGCTCAGAAGGATGTGCTTTTTCTTTCTCTTCTGTACAGAGGTCCTTCAACTTCTCCAGAGCAGCAGAGCCCTTTACTAAGAAAGTATCTGGAAGAAGAACACAAGGCTTTCTTAGCACTGAAGCAACCAGCAGCAGCCTTGCTCGCTCCCTGTTTGTATCTCAGATGTACCATCCATCCTCGCAATACTGACAATAGCGGCTGAATAATGAAGTGCTTAGGCACCTGATCCTGTTAGGACTACTGGTGTCATGACAGAATTCACRGCACTAACAACTATGGTCTGATGCTTCAACATCACTCACTTGCAAAGAGATCATAAAGAAAAACCGCTGCCTGTCACTACACAGCTATAAATTTCGGGCCTCTACCACCCTGATGGGGAGAAAGGCCTCGAGCCCCCCACTCCACGGGGAGGGCCGCACAGAGCGCCGAGGCGCTGACGAGGCCAAGGCCTTTCCTGGGAGGGGGCTGCGGCCGCTCACCGTCGCCGCCCGCTCCCCTGAGCGCCGCCAGCCGCCGGCCCAACGCCGCCAGCCGCGGCCGCAGCGCGGACACAGCACCCGCCCCAGCCGCCATCCCAACCGCCCTCCACCAACGGCCACCCGCGCGGGGCACGTGACCGCCCCGCTGGGCGGCGCTGCGCAGGCGCGCGGCAGCGGCCGTTGGAGGCCAGAGCGGCCGTTGGAGGGAGCAGTGGCCGTTGGAGGTGGCGGCCGTGGCTGAGGCTGTGGCAGTCCGCGGGGCCGGTGTCTCCATAAATGGCCGTTAAAGCTCTGTCTTCTGTGGCTTCCCTGGCCCTGCTGCGGGCTCCTCGGCCGCCTGTGCCGAGTGGTGAGGCTGCCTTGCCTGCAGTGAACTGAAGGGGGAGCTGGTGGAGCGCTCCTGGCGCGGGGCTCTGTGACTGAAAGCCGTGGTTGATTGTTTTTACGATACTTCTTGGGAGGAAAGGCTGTTTATTTTAAGTATTCACTATTGGGATTATTTAACTCGTACCCATATGATATACATATCATGTCATCTACATTCAGACTATTTCATCACCTCAGAATATGAGGTTAAAAAAGCCATTTAAAGTGGCTTTCAAGCCTTTTCTTTTTGTTTTATGTCCTGCATTCTTTTTATTGGGAGCTGTTTTACAAGAGAAGGAGGTGGCATAACCTTGGGTAAATAGCTGATAAGCCACCGAGCTAGGAAGGAGAGGCTTGTGCTTAGACAGGATCCCTGGCACCTCCTTAGTGTGCTGCAGATGCCCTAACCTCTCCCTTGCCCCTGGCTGGAGCAGCCTCTCATCAGTCCCAGTATCCATCTCTTCCTTAAGTTGTATCCCTGAAGTCACTAAAACCCCAAGCTGTATGTTGTAATTTAGAGAACTACTGTGCTGTCGTCCCACACCTTGCAGGCAATCAGTTGTTGAGTTTGAGAAAAGGATGGATGTCTGGTTATTTAGAGAAAAATGACTTTAATTCATCTCTTAGAACTTGTTCAGATCAAATATCATCCAAATGCTTGAAGGAAAATGAGGAAAATGCCCTGGATAGGGATTTGCTACTTCTCCCTGTTCTTTTCAGGCCTGGGAAATCTTAAAATTCGGATTCTCAGAACTTCACACAAATGAAAAAAATGTATCTACCATTTTTCTGAAAGCTTTCCCTGTTTAAGAAAACTTTTCTGCCAAGTGACTCTTAGGTAAGTTATACTGAAGCAAAACACCCACTTCTTAATCTTTTGAGCTACTTTAGGGAATAGTTACAGTATGATTAAACAATTTCTGGGGAAGGCATTGCATGGGATTTGAGAGTTGACTGCCTAGCACTTGCAATTTTTAAAGCTGCACTTGCTCATGAAGAAAATTATTATTTTCTAGCCTGTATAAAAGTGTATAAAAGTGTTGCCTGTATAAAAACAACTGTGTTCCTAACTAGGTGGAAGCATAACAGGAAAAGGAAGTGCATGGGGGTGTTTAAATAGCTGTGGTTGGGGAAGAGGGATGGTCTTGTCCTTCAGAGCCAAGAACACRGTACTGCCACAATTATGTCTTCCAATCATTTGGGATTTAAATATACCGTTGTGTGTGTTGGCTCTTGCAAGTATCTAGATAAAAACAACTAACATGCTCTTACGTAGAGTATATATTTTTATATATACTATTCTTTGTTTCTGTGCAGGGACTTTGGAATTATACCAGCAGTAAATAGGGCTGTGATTTTTTTTTTTTTTTTTTTTTTTTTTTTTTGGTATATTGTGAATTTGTATCCCCAGCACGTACATTACAATCTGTTTTTATTGAACATGACACACACACACACACACATTTTCACCAGAGTGGATTTCACTGCTTCTTCCAAACCATATAACTACACAACTCTATCCTTCACAGATCTGTATGAGCAAATGAGAACAGAGAAATTACAAATACACGCTTTGGAAATACATATATATATATATATATATGTATCAGTGAACTGGGGATATCTTGAAATCTTGGAATATTTGAAGATTTTAAGCACATGTATATTCAAGTTTTGTGTTCAGCAATTTGTTTTGTTCCTCTTTATATTTAGCATGACCAAAACTCATATTTACAGAGAGGAACTGGAAAACCATGGTGGTAGGAAAATATTGTTGGCTGTAATTAGAAACACAGAATTGTCTATCCAAAACAACTTTTAAGTTCTCAGGCTGTGCAAATTTTCTTGCCACTTTGGCACATAAGTGGGGTGATAATGAAATTATACTTATGTACGAACTAATTATTGGAGAAAGTACCCTGAGAGAAATTTTGTTGGGTATGAGTGAACAAGAAATTTTGATTATATGATATTTTGATCTCCAGAAATAAAGTTGGAAGAAACAGGCTTTTTTTTTTTTTTCCTCCTCCTTCCCTCAGTAGATTTCTGACCGTTTCTTTTTACGAGATGTTACTAAACCTGATGATGAAGAAAGCACTGGATTATTTACTGCTTGATTTACTTCTGGCTCCTCATTTGAAAAAAAAGGAGGAAAACAATAAAAAGGGAAAGCATTTGGTAACACTGAATGGAGAGAGACTGAACTGAACCAAACAAGACTCAAAAAGATATCAAGATCTGTGTTTTTAAATTATGCTTTTCTGTGACATAGTACCACTAATAACTAAGGACCATTTTATAAAAATGAGTCCTAGAAACATACTTGCTCGTCTTGTAATTTGCTTGTATGTTTTAATGATACATAATTATACTTTTTTCCTATGGATTTGAATAATGGAAGTTTGCACAAAGGAGATCAGTTTCTCTTGAGATTGTTTCTCTTCACATGAGCTGAAAAACATTGCTGAGCAAAGAGGTGAACTCGGGTGGGGTAGTTTCACGGTTTGTTTTATGGCACAGCGAGTCACAACTGCCTCAGTAGGAACTGGATTGTTGCACTCATTCCTAGGTGCCAGATTTACATTGTAGTCTGTGGTAGTTGAGGCTTATCTCTATGGATATAAAAGTATGTGATATAAAAAGTATGGTATATGATATAAAAGTACGGATATAAAGATATGTGAGCTYCATGAATGCGTTGTACTTAGTATTATCCCTGTTTATAAGAAAGATGGTCTATACTGAGGTACCAATTTTTAAATGTCTCTTTGATTCCCAAAGGGAGATGCATGCTTTTGCATCTGACATATGTGGAACTACTAAAATAAAAGTTACCAGGAAAGATGTGCAAAACTGGAAGTTAATCTGAACGATGCCATGTGGAAGGAGGATTTCATGGAGGATTTCTGTGCTCATGACATTAAACTTTTTGAAATTATGCATAGAATTCAAGGTCATGGCAGGTAAGAAAGTCATATCATTGAATGGGGAAAAAAAGCATCTAAATCAATCCTGTGCACATTTTATTTAGATATATATTTACCCTATTGCTCTGCATCAAGTAGAAAAAAGAGTCTGTGTACTCAGTCTGAAATATGTTCAAGTCAGAGTATTTGAAATTCATATTGCTAGTCTCAAATGTGTAATCAGGGCATAGGGTGATCTGTAAAGGAATTTTTTGCTTTTGCGCCAGGGTTGTGAAATGTATTAGGTCTGGAGAAGCATGTGAATGCAGCTATTAAAAGACGTAGTTGTGGCGTATTTTTGTTTGTCTAACCTTGCAGGACTGCTCCTTGTTTTACCTGCTTCAGGCATGTGTGTAGGTTGCTGCCCTGACAAAATATAGAACAGCTCCTTTCTCATRATGTGGCCTTTTGCATGGGGGACGGTGTCACATTGGGTGTGCAGCTAAACAGGGTCCGGACATAGGAGATGATTTATGAGTTGGTTGTTGATTAGGAAGTGCTGTGTGGTGAACTTGGAACCTGGAGCTGCTCTGCTCRAGTGATCTCCCTGTAATTGGGAGCATAAAAGACTGACAAACAGGGATTGCTTTCTGCAGCTGAAGAGAACTCAAGGAGCTTTTGAAACAGTAACTGCATAGTATGCAAATGCCTCTTCTATAATGACTCGGTTTACTTATAACCCACAAGGAAGACAGATCTTTCTGTTGTATGGTGAGTGATCAAGGGACTGCAAGTACTGTGGACACGTGTGCAATACAGAGGACTTGCTCACAGCAGTCTTCACCCTCTGCCTCCCTAAAGGAGCATTACAGATTATTGTGTATGTGATTTAGGTTATTTTTTTCATGCATGACTTTTAGCTAACATGAAAATAATGGTCAAAAAGCAAGTGACCGTTGCCCCTGACTGTGTGCTGCCAGCCTTTGCTGATATTAATGCTAGAGCCACGTGACTGTAGGGTGAATGAGATCAGCTTGCTTTTCTGATGAAATGCTGATTTTTTTTTTCCATGGACTGGGCCTCTAATTGGACCAGAATGATGATCTATGAGGCCATGAGCTGCTGAACTGTCAGTTTGGAGAGTTTTACCCTTCTCTCAGACTTGTAGCTTCTCTCCTGAAGCTGTGATGTGCTCAGAGAGCCGTCATCTGGCACTTTAGTTAAAGTTTTATGCCACTGTAAGAGGTTTTATACTGTTAATTCTCTTGGATCATGGTAAAATCAAATCTGCTAACTGGGATTTGTATTAACTGGTGTGGCATTTGGCATTAAGGCTTTTCTGGCCCTTCTTTCGTTTCCCTGAGAGAAAACCAAACCAAACAAACTTTTCCTGGAAGAATTGTGGGATGGATAAGAATGAATTTTTATGTTCTTTTATGCTGTGCAAATTTCTAAAATAAAGAGGTGCCACTGAGAAAGTTTTATACAAGACCAAGGGCTCATATCCTAGTTTAGCAAACATTTCTTTCGAAAGAGCACTGGGTTAATCTCTGTTTCCTCTTCTCCCCACTTGCTTTGAAGCTGCCCCTGTCCGTCGTGCTCATATACTGTGGTTATATAAATATACATATGTCAGACTTGGTATGTGAGTAGCACCTCGTTGTGGCCTGAGAGCTTAAGTGCAGTTCGGGTTGCTGGGAGAAGATGTATGTTAAACTGCTTCCCGTTTTTGCTTGGGAGTTCAGTAGGACGCCACGGGGGGGCACTGTGTTCAATATAGTTTGTGATTTAATGGGGATGTGTCACTATAGTAATGGCAATATTGAACCGTTTTTTCCCTAAATCTGTACAGACAGGAATGAAWTATTATGAAGAATTTAACAAAAGTCTCAGATTTTGCCATATATTCTATGCAGAATGTGTGTGTTCCTTGCTATTTTTTTTTACCAATTCTTCTGTTCATTCCATTGCTACTGAAAAATGAAATGGAATGGGAAACACCTGATTTTCCTAAATGCATAATTTCTAGATCATGCTTTATGTTGGGAATATTAACCAAGTTATTGATGTTTGGCCCTCTGTAACAGGGAGGCYGTTCAGAACTCCAGAGAACTGTTTGTCAGTAGCTGAATGGACTAGAAGAGTTGGGCAAAACTGCTAATTCAGATAAGGCTGTATTGGYGACCGGTCTTGTCGGAGCATGCAGGGTACTGGATCCCTAAGGATGATAGGATAATTATGTGGGCCTGGGCTGCACACCTGAGGCTGCATGCCAGACTCCTGTAGTGAGAAATGCAGGTTGCCAGGCAAGCACCACACCCGTGCGGTGGGTGGCAAAGTCCATGTTTCCAAGAGGAAACCAGTGCAACAGGCAAAACTGGTCACTTGGACAGGTGGCAGCTTTTGGTGGCAGTTCTGAGTGGCTTGGCTCACTGTGCAGCACCGTCTGCAGGACGAGGCGGGTGCTTTGCCCGCAGCGTGCAGCTCCTGCAGGTGCAGTTCTGCCTTCCCCTTTCGGTTTCTGCACCTGTTTTGCTAAGCTGCATATCAAACGCATGTACAGAGCGTTTGTTTTACTAACAGTTCTGCACATACTTCCTAGCATGAGTTTAAAATTACATGCAAATTCTGATTGCTGATGAAGATTGCATGAAAGTACCTCTGTGCAGCTTTAGAATGTAATTTTGCACTGAAGAGTCTGGAAAAGCCTGTTGCAGGGGTGYGAACAAGCATGAACTGACATGCAGCATGACAGCTGCTGTGGATTCCTSTTTCCACTTTGTTGTTCTTGTAGGCCTTTTTGTTATGTTGAGTTTAATCTTCTGCAACACTATCAGTTTGGAGTGTAAAGTAACCCCATGTTGTGTGTTGAGCCAAGGGCACTAAAGACTTTCCTCTTCTGCATTCTTGCAGCAAAAAACATCTGGCAAAAATTAGGAGTAAGACATTAGTAGCATTTTCTCAGCAAGAACTAAAAATATCCTCCATAAATACGGGTGTACAAGTATGTGGCACTTGTGTAGCTGTGAATACCTGCTTCTATATATAGAATACCTAGCCATTTTGTGGTTTTCTCATTCCTGCTGTAATTCCTACATCCGTGATGTAAAGCAATGAATGATAAATCACGTGTTCCAGAACTAGCCGCATATTGGACTGTTACCCTTGAAGCTTATTACTTTTCACTCGCTCTTTTTGACTGTATTGATGACAGTTAGTAAATGTGTACTATTAAAACCTGAACAGAATTGCCAAGGATCACATTGAGTAATGTTTCTTTTTGATTTGTTTTATGAATGTATGAAATTGACTTACCTTAAATTCTAAGTACTGAATAATGTAATGTTTTAAGTATTCTGGTTTTGAATTGAGATGTAGCATTTGCCATGGCCAGAAATTTTAAGTTCTGTCTATATCTTTAACACCACAGAATTGCAATAACTAGTTAACTGAATTTAACTGAGTTTTCAGTATCTATTTCTGTCAGGGTTGTAGAGGTTGATAACTGAGTAACTTGCTGTAATAACCTGAATTCTCTAGCTTTGACCTTGCTTAAAATATTCAATGGCATCTAAGAAGCTGCTTATCCTAGGTTATAATCACAACACTTAACCCTTTTCTTCTTTATCTKTTATATTAAAGTAGGTCATCCTCACTAAAATATGAGAGCACTTAAAGGAAACTGTAAAGGGATGAACAAAGCAATAAAAAACATCGCCCAGATTTTAAAATCTGTTTATCCAATCTGTGCATGAGAATTTACTTACAAGTTTTTTTTAGTTATTTGAATTAGGTTATGTGTTCTACTAATAAATAATAGCAGGAAAAAAATACGTAGTGTTTTTCTATTGACTGCTCACAAGTTCATTCAAGGATAAAGAACTGTAACCAAAGAGGAGTTAATTCTTCTTTATTGTGTAGCTTCAGGATCCTCTCATACCTCGGTATCCTCTTTGATCCTAAGCTCATGCCTGGGAAGAGGATACCTTGCCAGTTTGGCAAAGCTGCTAACCAGCCCATTTCCTCCTCAAGTCTTGACTCTCCTCTCTGTTGCTTTGCATTTTCATGGCTATCCAGAGGCTGGCTTTGGATTTTTTGTTTGTTTTCCAATTCACTTTTGCCTTTGCTGTTTGTACTTAATTATATATGTATCTACTAATTAAATGAGCTTTCATTCGGTAACTGCTTAATAATTTTCAGCAAGTTCTGATTTCAGCAGACTGACAAATCCCCACACTTCTCTATAATGGGTACATTTTTCCTTGTAATGACCTTACTTTCACCTGACCCATTTTGATAAGTTTATAATTACAATGATGGTATTTAAGCTCACATGACTTAACCAGTGTAATCACCGGTGAAGCTGGTGGCAGCCCTTTTCCCTTTCCCAAGGTAAATATATATCCTATAAATGCTGTGAGTTGATCTAAAGTTATTAAAGTGTATATTGCACAGGCACATGCAGTTATTCTCATGTTCACAGCTGGAATGCATTTGTTACTATGCCATTTAGGTTTCTAACATTCCAACATATTTGAGATTTTTTAAATCTTTCCTTGATATCCGTTTCCTGTAGCATTCCACTTGAAGGAAGATGTGCCTGTAATGGATTACCTGCTTTCATTCCGAGTTTCCCTTCCATATCAAGGTGTTTGGATTCATTCCACTTTATCAGAAGATCAGTACTCTGTGCTCTTAAATGAGTAATACCAAAAATATCTAATTATTTTAAATAATACTGGACACTATGTAAACACCAGCCTTTTGTTTCTGATTAGGACCTATTAACATGTTGTGAAGTCTGTGCATGTGTTCTAGATACTGCAAAATTCAATGAGTTTTCCTTCTGCTTGGCTCCCTATGGGATTTTCATGGCCCACTAACCAATGATTCTTGCTAAGTTCCAATAGATCTAAAGGAAAGTTTTAAAAATGGTAAAAATCTAGTTAAATGTATAATGTTGATGAGACATTTACTTAGGAAAAAAAAAAAAGTTGATCTCAGATGTCTGGTTCTTTCTGTACAGATAAAATTTAATAGATAAAATGTCTCTATGCTTGCGAGCTCCTTGATGATTTTGTTGTATTTGGGAACTGGCATTTCAGTGCATTGTACTGGTCTCACTTTGACATGTTATTATGCTTGGTATTAGTATAACTGAATGGTGGTAWAATGAATATATAATCATTAACCCGTGGTTGTTCCAAAAGACCTATCTACTAACTTGCATTTGGCACCAAGGGCTCAAAACTCTGCAGTATTCATTTCTAAATGTTGTTAAATGTGACAAATGTTTGACCAGTGTCACATGCTTGAATTTAATGGGGAAAAAAAATGAAGACCAAGCTGAAAACATCTTTGAGCGTTTCAGAGRATCCTTTTATATTGGCTGATCTGTTGTCATCATTTGTGTGAATAGCTTTAAAACAYTGCAATGAAGACAAAATCTACTGTACTTCTGTAAAATACTGCAGAATAAATTCCTTTATCTACTCATTCAGTTATGTTCGGAACTTCTCTATGGCAAAAAGAGAATGTTTGTGATATAAGTATCAGTGTCACATAACCATAAGGAATACAGATGTTTAAAGGTATTAAAGTATTAATACTTGGCCTGTGCAGTGACTGTGTTTGCACCTTACTAGAAGCCCAAAGCATGGGCAAAACCTGTGCAACCAGGTACGCAGCAAGTGCTCAGGAGCGTGAGCAGCGACACAGGCCAGKCTGGGAAGGGCCACTGCTGCCTTCCAGGGCCATACCTGCTGGGCAGAAGAGAATAAACATTTTTGATGCACATTTTTTTTTCCCTCAGGGAAAATGTTTCGTGATAGGAAAAGTGGCTTCACAAATTTATGCACCTGTATGAATCTGGGCAGAACTGAGGTTCAGGGTTACAGTCCTGTACAACTTTTCTGCTCGTTTCCCGCATCCAGGCTCCCTCTCACATTTTCCTCTGAATCCTTCACCAGGCCTGAGCTGATGAGGCCGGGTATTTTTAGAAAGCTCCAGTAATGGTGGCTGCATGCCACGAATTTTCCTTCCAGCAACCAGAGTGCTGCTTGCTTGTTAAAAGGCTCCGCACCGCGTGTCCCAGCAAGCACCCATCCATCCCAGGGACAGATTTTCCATCGCCACGTCCAGGCATCCGCCTGCCTGCTGCAGACGGTGTGCCTATGGAGGCGGTAACCTTGAGCACCACGACCCCGCGCTTGGGCCTGTGCCTCCCGTTCCGGACCCTTGGTCACAAGGACAGAAAGAGAAGCCTGTTTAGTTTTGTTTTTCCCTGAATGCGGTAGAAATCAGCCCCCACCTGACCCAAGGGGYATCCTGAGCGCGCCTCGCGGCAGAGGACGGGGATGCGCGTGGGCAGGCACCGCTGCCCGCTCCGTGCCGGCGCCGCAGCGTTCCCGGGCCAAACGGGCCAGAGCGCTGGGGCCGGCAACGCTGCGCGGCGCCCACGCGTGCTCGGCGCGCGGCCCCTCGGCGCGCGGCCCCT